GCCCAGACTGGATTCGAACCCGCCAGCTCAGGTGTATGTGGCTGGCGCCTTAGCCAGTTGAGCCATAGGCACCAGGCCGGTTTTGCTTCTTTATAACATTTACTTCATTTCTAGCATATATGACAATAGTTGTGTAGTGATCTAAAAGTGAATAGACTTAATTACAGAGATAATATAAAACCAGTTTATAATCATCTTAGTTTTATTACCTAAATATGGGCATTATGAGTTTCTCAAGCTATGAACCAGCAGAACAATGAATTCTACTATAAGGTGAGGTAGGGTGCTGTCTTCCTAGAAATAAATATGTTCTAAGAGGCTGACATAAAAGGGGCAGAACATCCAGGAAGTAAGCCTCTAAAATCAAGACACCACTGAAACATTGGAAATACAGTATAATTAAATTTAATGCTTTATGGGAATCTCAAAATATAGAATTGGGTGACCTTGTTAAGTCATTAAAATGCCTTTCGAAGAGGCTGGATTCAGTAAAATACAAGGCTTTGTGTTTGTGGCTTGTGAGATACAAATTCTAGGCCAAAGATGAATTTCTTTTGACTATAGAGAAATGTTCTAGTGAGACCCATATATATATATATATTTTTTTTTTTTTTTTTTGAGACAGTGTCTTGATAAAGTGCAATGGTGTCATACCTCACAGCAACCTCAAACTCTTAGGCTCAAGCAATCCTCAGCCTCAGCCGCCCAAGTAGCTGGGACTATAGGTGCCTGCCACAATGCCCAGCTAATTTTTAGAGACAGGGGTCTCACTCTTGCTCAGGCTGGTGTTAAACTTCTGAACTCAGGCAGTTCACCCGCCTTGGCCGTGCAGAGTGCTATGATTACAGGCGTGAACCACCATACCCAGCCAGAGACCCCTATCTTTAAAAAAAAAAAAAAGGGACATGATGGTATGAGCCTATAATCTCAGCTATTTAGTAGAATCCCCTGAGGCTATGAGTGTACCAGTGCAATTCAGCCTGACAGATTAGAATCTGTCTCAAAAAAAAAATGAATGAATTTTGTAGATCCATAAAGCACCAAAAAATATGATTACCTTGGGGACCTGTATTAACTGTCTAGCTCTAAACATTCCCATATGGATACTTCTTTCAGCCCCCTTGAGACTATCTAAACTTAGGTAAGAATGCCAAGTAATATAGGCAGGAAATTTTGGAGGTCTGCTTTTCCTAAATCAGAGATGAACAGACAAAATCATCTTAGTCTGTTATAACAGAGATGGAAGAGATCTTACGGGGCAGGGAGGGTAGAACAGCTGGTAGTTTTATCAGTTATATATATATCAGTAATGAAGATTGTCAACGGGCTTATGGTATATAAAATTAAAAACTACACTGTACAATTCATTAGTGATAGTTTCCTACTTTTAAAAGCCTCTATCATGAAATATCTAAAGCACAAAATAATCTGTTACAGTATTAGAAATACCTGTAAAATGTGGAGGATATTATCAGCAGGAAAAGTATTTAAATTCCGTGAGAAAATGTAAATCTTAACTCTTCCCCTGAAGAAAAATTTCAAATACGTATTTGTGTTAAGGTTTTGTGACACTGTATATTTCAAGTTGTTTATATGTTATGTGTTACACTTAATAGGACTACAGAATCTCATCCCCGAAGTGAAAACAAAATAGAATCGAGTTCATCGGACAATCTGAGAAGAAACTACATATTTCCAGAAAAGACTGAAATGCAAAGACTACTGCCTGGATCGCCTTTACCGTTAAAGAACCTGAAAGACACGTGCTCGTTAAAGGCGGAAGGCAAAATAGATTTCAGTAATATTTCCTCTGATACTTCAGAACACTTCGCTGGGGAACAGGGAAGTTTAACTAG